CAGGAGTTCAAAGAGCTTCACTTCCCTCTCTGCTCTTCCTTGTTCTCTGCCATTCACTACTATCTTACTTTAATGAATTCCTTACTTACCTATACTTGTCTGACCTGCTCAAGAATTCTTTCTCTTTCAGAGTCAAGAACGCTCCACTGTTCAGGTTGAGGTTTCACCTAATGGGCAGCAAGAGACCTCCCAGATGCAGCTGCCCTGGCAACAGTTTCTTAACAAACTGCACACTATTTTTAAAGTGATAGATTACTCTGCTTACCTGAGACACATCGTGATCAGCTAAATTATAAGGAATCATTATATAATAATATACTCTCTAGTTTCAGAAATAATTTGGGGAACTTACTAGGTCTTATTGTCATCAGTAAATTGGCCATATTTATGAAGTGTAGAAAAAAATTCTAGATGTACATCAGTTCTCTGACACAGTCTAAAAGTTGCTTTCCTCAAATGTATGATAAACTTTTGACTTGTCAGTAACACAGAATGAATATAATGAAATTTGGTTGTGATTACTTTAAAAACTGTATGTGTTCCATAATGTAGGGGGGTCACGAGGAAGGCAGTACAGCACAGAAAAGACAAGTAGTGACTCTATAGCATCTCACTACAATGATGGACAGTGAATGCAATAGGGGGTGGGGGGACTTGATAATATGGGTGAATGTAATAACCTCAATGTTGCTCATATGAAACCATCATAAGATTGTATATCAATGATACCTTAATAAAAAAATTATCGTAGGTGTCCATAGTGGTTTTCAATTACACTGTATTTGTCCAGAACATATACTGGTACAACTCTGGAAAATTCTTTACACACTTTTTTTCATTATTCTTAAGGTAGATAATTAATTTAAATGAAAATGATCTAAATTAATTTCATACCACTGTAGAAATATAATATCATAGAAATATCATAGATATTATAGCAGTTTTTAAGTAAATTTAATTGATAATCAGAAATGAAACATTCTTTTCTCAGTCTCAGATTTTCACCAGGCTTTTTTAACCCACTATTTCCAGTCTGATTGAAATAAATCTACCTGCATGAACAAATGCTGAAACCCCTGTTGGGCCCACTGACTTTCCTCCCACATCCCTATGACTCTGAAGTTTTCCAAACAGCAAAATTGAAAAAATATCTTTGGAAAAGTGAGATAGTCTCCAAATCTGTCACCTGTGTAGAATGATGCTACAATTTCTAATGCTCACTTTTACTGTTAGAGAGTATAAAACAAAAAACTACCAAGAAGAGTTTTACTATCTTATTGGATAGCTTTTCTTTCAGTGACAACACAGCCTGGAGCAAAAGAGCAAATTCTCCAAAGCCAACGAACCAAGATATTGTGCAAAGCTCGCTGATTGGCTATTGCTACTCACACACAAGCAGTGCTCAGCCATGCAAAATAATATAGCCAGTTGTCTTCTGAAAATGGGGGATGTGGTATTTTACTGTGACTTTTATTTTATTCTCAAATGTTTTTTATTCTTGGACATAGTTGCCTCTAATTAAATGAGATGGTTGTGCCCAATCTGTCAGTTTGTGTTTGATTATGTTAACAGAAGCGTATGAAAAAAGATTAGCAAATTGCTGTGGTTGATTCTTGCATTCATCAACTTCGTAGTCAAATTTCACACTGTGTGGTATAGAATACTCTAGCATAAATCAATAAGGAGAAGTATGCTAGTGGTTTACCCAAAGTATGGTGGGAATCTATATACCATCCCAGGCAATAAAATACTATTTCCCATAGCTTCACTACTCAAGATTATATAAAATGGACAGCTGTTTCAGATAACTGCACAAACTAGATACATTTAAATATGCCTGAGACAAAACAAATCTGCTGTGAAGTAGAATGAAATTTAGGTGTAGTTATATCTGTCCATCATAGCCTAAGAAAACATTGTAAATCAGGCTGAATATTTCAATATGAAAAAAATGATATACAAAATAGAGGACAAAATTCTATTTTTTAAATTAAGGTATTATTGACATACACTCTTATGAAGGTTTCACATGAAAAACAATGTGGTTACTACATTCACCCATATTATCGAGTCCCCCCCCATACCCCACTGTAGTCACTGTCCATCAGTGTAGCGAGATGCCACAGAGTCACTATTTGCCTTCTCTGTGCTACACTGTCTTCCCCATGATCCCCCCCATACCATGTGTGCCAATCATAATGCCCCTCAATCCCCTTCTCCCTCCCTCCCCACCCACCCTCCTACACCCCTCCTATTTGGTAACTGCCAGTCCCTTCTTGGAGTCTGTGAGTCTGCTGCTGTTTTGTTCCTTCAGTTTTGCTTTGTTGTTATACTCCACAAATGAGGGAAATGATTTGGCACTTGTTTTTCTACACCTGGCTTATTTCCCTGAGCATAATGGATCAAAATTCTATTTTCAAAGTATGAGTTTAAAGAATTCATCTGTTTCATTAAGCTTCTACTATCAGGCACTTTTCTAGGTGCTTCAGATATACCAGTGAACAAAGCAGACAAAGACCCCTGCCCTTATGGATTTTACCTTGTAGCAGTGTAACACAGACAGGAAAAATTAAGAACAATATGTGAACAATTTATAAGTTTGTAGAATAAGACAAGTGGTAGAAAAAAATGGAGCAGGGAGAGGAAGATAGAATGGGTTACCGTGGTATTACAATTTAAATAGGGTAATCAGGATCTTCTGATTCAATATATATGTTAATATAAATCTGAATAGAATTCTGAGATTCACTGTTACCAAAAGTCATACTACCTTTGCTGACATAAATTCATACTAGTTTTGGTAAAGCAAGGCAGTTGACTGCTATGCTGGTAAGAGATGTGTATGTCTATTAGTTTTTTTGAATCTGGATTTTTCTTGGGAAATGTTTCAATTGCCTTCATTGTGTTACTCTGAAATATGTCTAAAATTTAACAGGCACACTGAGCCTTGGAAGATGTCCTGTGACCCAATTTCTGGAATGCCAGTAATATACTAATTATATTTCCTTCTCTTAAAAGATACAAAAACTGGTATAAGAAGACTAAAAATCTGCTCACTGACATTTTAGATCAAGCCCTTGGTCCATATCATATTTCAATCATATTTCTATTAATAAATGTTAGTTGTAACCTGAGGACACATTCTAAAAGATGTGATTCCATTATCAATTCTAAAATACTGTTTCCTCAATACTTTCTAGGTTTGTTGGTGATCCTCTGTAAAAATTCTATGAACAAATTTGTATTATCAGTTCTTGGTGACTCCCTGCTTTTCTCCTGCCTATAAAACCAGGACTTTTAAGTTGAACTCACTGCCTGAATATGTTCCTTCCCACTCCTCCCTCACAAGCCTAGGATTCACAGACAAGGACAAACTAAAAAGTTTGTTTTTATTTTTTATCCATATCCTGCATATTGTGTAATTTTAATAAAATTCTCATCACTCTCAAGAGTCATATTAATTTTAATTTCTCATATGGCAGCCATCTTTATATCATTATTTTAAACACCCTTATATAATTTCTCCTGAGTCCCATTGCATTTCCAACTGCCTAAAATTCAACTACATATATGTAACATCCCACTTTTTAAAATTCATGATATTTTGGTACTATTAGACCTTGAAAATTGTTGAGGTGTTTTGCTTTATGTTCTCTATTTTTCCTGATAGTAATCTACAATATCATTGCTTTTAATTTTGATGGTTTATGTTTTCTAAACAAGATTATCAGATAAAATGTACATATATAATAGCAAATACTTAAAGGCCACAACTTGATGAGTTTTGACATGTATACGCAGGTGAAATTATCATTACAATAATCAAGATCCTGAACATTCTCATTAACCCTAAATTTTCATTATATGCCTTTACAATCCATTCCATTTTCTCCCTTGAGCAGGAAATACTAATCCACATTCTGTCACTGTACTTTGGTTTGTACTTTCTAGAATTTTATGTAAATGGGATATGTTATGTAATATATGGAATAAATATATTGATACATACATATGGAATAAATATACTTGCCCCTTGCCCCTCCCCGAGGAATGTGTAATCCATTTTGAGACATTGCCATACCAGTCATTGTTAATGAAAGAAAAAAGAGAGGATGTGAACCCAACAGTCCAAGCAGGTTTATTGCTAAACCTGAGAGAGACTCCCCTGTTCTGGCTGGCAGAACAAAGAAGGTGTCTCTCACAGGCTGAGAGGCTTTTTATGGCCAGGATTTCTGCGGGGGCTCTTTGAGGGAGGGGTCAGGGGAAAGGTGGGCTTTGTGCCTTGTTGATGTGTCCTCTGGAGAATGCTTGTAGCCTCAGTAAGATGAAACCTAGGTCTCTCTGAGATGGTGGATGGGCTTACTCCTGTCCAGATTCTATCAGTCAACCTATAGGCTTGTAGGTTTTCTTAGTGTTATTAGCAAATCTCCTTTTTTTAAACAGAAAAGAGCTGTGTACCAAGTTAAGTATGATGTTGATGACAAGAGCCCATCCATCAGTCAGAATCAGCTTGAACAGTTGTGAAAATAAAAGGCTATTGTTTTATTTTCACTATGTCTAGTGTTTTTTGTTGTTGCTGTTCTTGCTGTTTAATCAAATAAGATGCATGAGAAGTCATTCTGGGAGAAGGAATGATCTACAGACTATGAAGTTGGGACCATTTCTCTTGGGTTACAAACCAGGAAATACAAGCTTTCCAAATTGCATCCAAATGCAATAACAGAATCTTTTTCCTGATTGTATACACTTCTTGCTTTAGAAGATGTTCTGTGCCTTGGAGCCAGACCTATATCTGGATCTAGCATCAATATACAGACATTTTATTTTCTTCTGCTGTCCTGGCAAGTAGACAGCTAATACCTTTCAAGATTTGTCAGAAAGATTACTCTCCTTTACACAGGGGAGGTGTCTGTCCGAAAGATTAATCCATGACAAAGTGAGACACGAGTTTTAATATCTATATGCTTTTGGTGTGTCAGTTGGTAATCTTTCTGTTGCAGGAGCAGGAGAATCTGGAAAAAGTACTATCGTTAAACAAATGAAGTAAGTATGCATTATTTGGTGTCTGTCCATGTATTTAGCCATTCTTAAAATTAATAATTTTGGAAAACTCTGTTTGGTAGCCTCTAAATCACAGGTAGTGGCAGAGCTGTGACAATTCCTGTGCAAATATTCCTCCTTTTAGCAGAAAGCATACAAATGGGTAATAATTTCCATTTTTCTATTAAATTTTGCCTCTCAATGAGATGAATACTAAAAGCAGTTATTTTTTAAATATATTAATATGAATATGATCTAGGGCTTTAAATCCATGGTCATAAGCCATAAGTATTTCAAAATATGCCACTCAATGATATATTTGAATTTATGAGGAAATGATTTGTTAAATCTAATTGGCATTTTGCCTACCTGGGCACAGGATGCATATTTAAAACTATCACTCTCATGGATTTCAATTTATTTTTGCATATATTTTGTCTACTTTTTTTCTCTTTGTAATGAAATAAGTGGACCTGAATTTCTTAATAAGGAGATGATGAACACAAAAGTTCTGTAATTCAAGAATGCAATGTCTAAATGAATAAAATGGCAATTGATAAGCACAGATGCATACAAAACCTCATGGCTCTGTCACTCCTGGAGAATTTTAAGAGACAATTGTTACAGGAGAAGAAGATAATAATTATTTACTTACTTTCAATTATATGTTTGAAGATCTTGTTCCTTGTAACATACTATATAAGGGAATTATCCCAGTCAATGATGAAACTGTTTATAAGCTAAGCCACTGTTTTATTCTTCTTCCTAGATAACAATGCCATGTAAGTTCTGTATCAACCAGTATTTAAGTCCTACTTTTGACATCTCCTGTTACCTTTATCTGCAACCAAATTTTTACCCTTTCTCCTGTCTTTAAGGAATAGAACTCCTTTATCCTAATCACTGACCATACAGCTTTCAGGTGTTCAGCTCTACCTTTGCACCCAAGTCACTTCACATTTCCTTATGACATTACTACTGTGTTCACCTGACCTTTCTTTCAGGCTATAACCATGCTAGAATCCCTTTTATCCTTTTACCTCTCCATTTTCTACGAGGTTAAATGCAGTAAAAAAAGAAATGACCAACTGTCTAGCTACATAAAACTTAAAACATTTAAATATACCAAACTTTAAATAAAATTAAACAATGGAAAACTAGAAAAAATTTACAAATATGATAATTGACTACCTTAAGATATAAAAATGTATAGACTATTAAGAAGAATAAGCTGCCCAATATATAAATGGGAAGAGACTATAAACAGTATACAAAACATAAAATTCAAAAATCTATTAATAATTAACATAATTTTCCAATTTCAAGTTTTGACAGTGAACTGGGATTTCGTGAATGAACTTACTCCTGGTCTATCCATAAAGACATTTTACTGCATTTTTTTCTACAGCCTTCAATTTGTTTTAATTACTTATGTAAGTTAGTTTAGTATTTAATTCAGCAAGACAAATATGGCCATGTTTAAAGTAGAAATACAGCAACCATTGGCAATCAAATATTAAAAACAATAAATAATAGATCTAAATACTGCCTTTACTCCTTTCACTGCAGAATCCTTGTATTTGAAGGTTTTAATATCTTGGGAGCATTTGTGTTCTTTTTCCCCTGTGCTGAAGCCACTATGTGTAGGGATACAACACAAATCCTTAGTAATTGGCAAATAAAATAATGCCAAATGAACAGAAAGCACTTCAAAAACAATGAGAAAAAACAACAGAAAGTAACGAGAATATATTATGCAGCAAAATGCAATAAAGTAATTAACATATGCAAAGCTTTGCATAGGTAAATCTATTTTAATCTGTTTTTCCAAAACTGTTGGTTAAACTCTGAGTTCTGATTAAATGAATGGAAGGAAAAGACGAGTTCCCCCAAATAAAACGATGTCTGGGCATTTCAGCCTTCAGAACTCAGTGACACGTACACAGATGGAAAAGTAACAAGGAATTTCACCGCAGGTAATTACTTACATTAAACAAAGATGCCTTTGTTAATGCTATAAATAGAAACCAGGCACTCCTATTTTCCACTGTATCTTAAGTGATAGGAAAAGACATGAATGTCCCACTAAATTACTTCACTTCCTCAAGATATGTTGTAAACACGACATGTTTCAGAACTCTGCATATATCTTTGTCTTGAGAATCTGGAAATTTTTCTCTTGAAAAGATATAAGCTTTCTAAGTAAAATGCTCATGATTTACTCATTTTAGCATAAAAACCTCAGAAAGAAAATATTATATTAAACCCCAATGATAATAAAAATCCAAAGCCATAAAATTGTGCAGGTTTAACAAACATGTGTGCAAAATTCTTCTTTTTAACAAATCTATACTGTAATTTTGTCCAAGCAAATTATTATTGATGTATTTTAATGTTACAAAAAATCAATTGTTCAACTCACAAAAGCTTCTCATGCTTACATTATAGGATCATCCATAAGAATGGTTACAGTGAACAAGAATGCATGGAGTTCAAAGCAGTAATTTACAGTAATACATTGCAATCCATCCTAGCTATTGTGAAAGCCATGGATACCCTTGGGATTGATTATGTAAATCCCAGAAGTTCAGTAAGTATGCAAATAATGACAGGTGTAAGTCCTACCAAGGAGTTTGAGCCATAAAACAGTAGGACTTAATAAATTTGTAATAGTAAATCTTCAAAAAAAATTTAAGAATATAAAGTATGAATTTGGGAAACATTAATTCTGTTTAGTGTAAGATTTCCTATTTTCCTTTAAATGAAACTTTTCTTTTTGGCTGTGTGCTATAACCTTATTCAGCATTAACTGCTTTTCCAGGAATCAAACCTAATATTATATAATGTACTATATTAGAGAAAAATACTGCTAGATTTGCTAGATACAAAAGAGCTTATTCCATAAAATCAAGCTTTCATCTATCTATATTTTCTTAGTTTGAGTCATTTCATGGAGACTTTATTGTTAGTAATAACACTATAATTATCATTAATGTTCAATACTAATTACAAAGGCTATGTGGTACAGGGAAATGGTTATTTTATAATGCTAATTTTTTTTAAAAGGAGTTCAGAATTATGTAATATATAAAATGCTTGTAAAAAAATATACTCAGTCACAGTTTTGTTCATAAGGTAAAATCTAAAACTTTCATTTTTCTTCTACTTTATGTTTTATAATATAATGATTTTATGTTAAAACACACTAAAAATCTCTTAGTTTGTAACAGTTTATATGTAAACATAAAATTATTTTAGCTGGCAAATGAAGCATAGTATTACCCAAATATCAAGAGTAACCACACCCAAAAAAGAGTAATTGTATACAAGTGGTAGGAAGAACTCACCTTTTCCATGTGTCCCCTACTGGTTGCCTCTGGATGATGTCAACTGTTCACAGTGTAGTTCTTCGATACCTTGTATTAATAAAAATAGAAACAGTACAGTAAGTAGAGAGAGGAAAGAGACATTTGACTCCTATCCCCTACCCTCACCCCAGAGTTTACTGTTAGACTGTGAAAATTACCATTGGAAGGCATTAGGATGCAAAGAAAAATACTTCTTCCATGCTGTTAATTTTAAAGGAAATGGTAAATCAACATTTTGTTCTGCCTCATTCCAACAGAGCATGAAAATGCTAAGTACATCCTTAAAGCAGATAGTTGATAAGCAGTCATGAATTCTGCTAGGCTCTCCTTCCATTTTTGGCTTTCTCTACAACTTGGCTCCAGCAAGTCACCTACTTTTTGAGGATACAGTTTCCCTCTCACGTAAAAAAGGGGGAAGTTACAGGAACTGAACTCCAATATTCTTTAATTCTTTGTCATCCTGTGACTTATTGATTTTCTTTCTATGGACAGTTCAGTTATTGCTCTGACCCTGGCTTTTCCTAAAAACCTAGGATTTTAAGCTGACCTTTAAGAGACTTCCTGGTATTGTTGTAGGGCAGCTGCATCTGGGGAGATCTCTCCCTGTACACTAGGTGAAACCTCAGCCTAGAAAGGGGAGGGTTCTTGACTCTGAACAGGAATGAATTCTTCTGCAGGTCAGAGGAGTGTAGGGAAGGAAGGAATTCATTAAAGCAAGAATAGTAGTGATGCCGGGGTTCTTGTTGGTGTAGTTAAAGAATGAACCTCGTGAACAGACAAGGCAGGAGATTTACAGAGAGTTTTTATTCAGATACAGAGAGAGAGAGCTTTATTCAAGATAAGAGAAAGTATGGAACTCCCCGCAGGGGCAGGGAGGGGCAATATTGCCATTTGGGGTCTCAGTGTCTAGGTGTGGGTAAAATTGTAACATTTCCAGAATATCTCCCCTGGCTTTAGTACATCTGCAAATCAATAAGCGTTCAGAAATGGAAAGAAGTATGGCTTTAGTGCATTTGCATCATTCCTCAGGGGCGGAGAGAAGTTCATCTCTGTATCAATGTGTAATTACCTGGGCAACAGAGGACTTCTCTGTACTTGAGAGGTGAGGGGAGGGCTGGTTTTCTTCTGCTGGAGCAGGACTGCAGCTTGTGAGCAATAAACAGATTTTAAACTTTATTTCTCCCTTTGACTGATTTCTGTTTTTAGAGGTATTTTGCCCCAGTATTTCCTCTCCCCAGACTTACATCTGGCACAGTTGGCCAGATTCCTCTGAAACTGAAATCTGTCATAATAGATGTGACCTTTGGGAGGGCTGCCCCTAGAAATGATGGGGAGAAGTGGCACTTGTGCTGAGGGACGTGTGTCTACACTCGTGCGGTCGTGGAGGCACCACCACTGCTGGCCGCATCGACCCCAGCCATGGCCTGAGCCTACTGCTTCTGCCACTGCTGCTGCTTCTGCTGACGGCCAGAGCCTGGTCACAACTATGGAAAGGAGCAGAGGTCTGGGTCACCTTGATAGAGAAGCAACTGGCTATTGTGTATCACACCTTGCTGGCTATGGAGCCCATTGCTGGAACAGCTCCAACCAAGGTAATAATCACCTATCCCATCATGGGGTGGGTGAGAGACTGGACCCAAAGACCATGAAGTGGTGTGGCACAGATACCTACCATATGTCATGTGACTGGCCATTTGCCTTTGGCATCCCCAGGAAATAATGAAGAAGATGCATTGGCCCAGGAGTGCTCTGGCCAGAAGGAAAGTCTGCCTCTAATGTGGCCCAATGGCTACATCAGAGTTTGTTGCACCTGGGGCAAAAGACAATGTGGGCTGTAGCCCACCAGTGGGGCTTGCCATTGACCTTTGAAGAAGTCAGCCAAGCCCAGAAGGAGTGCCGTGCACGTTGTGCAGATCGTCAAACCACCAAGAGGGGCCTAGAGCATCTCTTTGCAGCCTATGGCCAGTCGCTGGTGATTGAGAGCAATCAAGGCACCCACTTTACTGGACATGCATTGCCAGGATGGATGCAGCAATTAGGAATAAAATGGACATATCCCTGGACATTTCTACACATGGACCAGCAATGGCTGGATCTTCTGGCATCTTGGGGAAAAGGCCTAGAAGCTGGCCTCCTGTGTGGTCCTGGAATAACAGCAAATTGGCCCCCCATATCATGGTTATTTGCTTCTACAGTCCTTGTGTCCTGGATGCACCCCCTGGCTGCAGCTGCTACATGATGGCTGGAATGGATGAGCTTTGGACTTCATCTGCATGGAACTTTGAACCTAGCTGAATCCTCTGATTTGAGAATTATCATGATTGTGTTGCTATTGTGAAGAAAAAAATGCTTAAAGAGAGGCTTGACTTTGTCTAATGTTTGGTTAAAGTTTTGTGAGCAATCTAGCATGGTTGTTAGGAATGAGTAAATAAGTGTAGAAAAATATTTGTGCTTAGTGAGAGACTGTGCTGTAAAGTACATTTACTTAATCTGCATAGGCTGAATCTTCTGGCTTGAGCATTATCAAAATTTTATTGCTGGTGCTATTGTATGTTACTAGATTGGTTAGAAGAGGGGGATCGAGTAAATTGTATCATTTCCAGAATACCTCACCTGGCTTTAGTACATCTGCATTATCAACAGGCGTTCAGAGGTGGAAAGAAGTATGGCTTTAGTGCATCTGTATCATTCCTCACGGGTGGAGAGAAGTTCATCTCCTTATCAATGGTAATTACCTGGGCATGGAGGGCTTATCTGTACCGAGAGGTGAGGGGAGGGCTGTTTTTTTTCTGCTGGAGCAGGAAAGAGAGACATCCCGGGACTGCAGCTTGTGAGCAATGAATGGATTTTAAACTTTATTTCTCCCTTTGACTGATTTCAATTTTTAGAGGTATTTTGCCCTGGAATTTCCTCTCCCCAGACTTACACTAGGGTTTTATGTTTGCTGCAGTGGGAGTTTTCTACAGATTCAGCCAGAATGGTAGTTATATTTTAAACTATCTCTGTGAAGGTTTCCTAGATGCTTTGTTGTAAGCTAGTGGGACTACAGGACTATGAGCGATGAGCTATTCTATACCACTGGGTCCCGATGGGGATAAGTTGTTATATTGTTTCAATTTCAAGCACCCTGTTTTGTAAGACTGTCCTTTTCCAGGTCCCACGCTGTACTCTAACTGGGCAGGAGTTGCGCCCTGCTGCCTTTCTATCTCAGTAGTGAATGGCAGTAGCCATGTAGAGAGCAGACAGCAAATAAGAAAAGAGGGAGGAAAGAGAAGCTCATTGAACTCTTGCTCAGCATAGGACAAATTCCTTGGCAACTACTGAAGCCAGGGTCACCTGGCATCTAGTGCCTGCTTGAATCTGCTCGGCATGGGAACTAAGTCCCTACCACTCCAAGATTTGGGGAAGTCACAGAGCCCTGGATAGAGTAAGATTATGTTCTGAGAGCTTCCACTTTTCCTACTGGTGTGAAATAAAACAGGAAGAGAGAAAAGGATTGTGTTAAGACTAGAAAGCTGAATGAAATAGCAAAGGGACAAAGACATTTACCACCAGAGGTGGAGGCTCATCGAGTTCTTGTCTTTACCATGGAAAAGAGTTCAGAGACAAGCACAATTGGCTTATGCAACAAGAAAGTTTATTTGAAAAGATGGTACATGCTCAGAGGGGAGTGTGGGTGACCTCAAAAAGGAGGCATACTTAAGAGTTTAGGGTTTGGGGTTTTATAGGTCTTTTTGGGTAAGGGTCAGCATAAGACATGATGATACAGATGGTTTATAATTCCTTTGAAGTTTTGCCTTAAGAATAGGTTATTTAGGTGACTGTGTTGGTCCAGATCTAGGCATTCTTTATCCACATAAGTTCATTTACACTTTGGAGGTCTATCTCCTGTTCTGGTTACAAAGTTACTTAATTGATTAAGGTGCTGGAAGAAGAGGAAGAACAACATATAGATTAAGTTAAAGAATAAACTAGGCCTTTTTTCCAAGCTAAGTAGATTTTACAATAACATGACCCTTGTCCTATTTCCCTGCCGTACCTCAATATAACCCACTAATTTAAAGATGTAAAAAATAAGGACCAAAGAGAAGATTAGCAATTTGGTCTACATTAAATAGCTAGAGTTTAGGGAAAAATCTGCCCTATGTGGAGCAGAAATTCAGTGAGCTTCTTTTTCCTCCCTCTGTTATTCCCTGCTCTCTGCTGTCTGCAAGGCAGCTGCGATTCCCTGTTATTTTTGCTTTAATGAATTCCTTCCTTACCTACACTCATCTGACCTGCTCCAGAATTCATTCTTGTTCAGAGCCAAGAGCCCTATCCTGTCCAGGCTGAGGTTTCACCTGGTATGCAGGGAAAGACTGTCCCAGGCATGGCAGCCTGACAAAACCATGGCTTTTGATTTAGCTTTCAATTTGTTTATTTATGCAGTTTGTATGTTTTTACATAACCATTTGTATATAATCACACAGATTGCCATTCCAAAAGAGAAAGAGTCTTGAAAGAAAATTTATGTAAGTTTTTTTGGTCACTGGTTTTAAAAGTTTGAACAAGTTAGTTGAACTCTCTGTCAGTTTCTTCATCCAAAAATGCCAGTGCTTCCCTCATTGAATACACATTAAAGTACAAAATATTGTAGAATGTAAGCTCCTAGTAAATATTAAGTATTACTACTTTCTAATAATAACTTTTAATGTAGGATAAGGGTTGACTTCTTCTGATGCTTATCTTTATTGTTTTGGCAAATTAACCTCCAACTTTTAGATTCCTGATTTGTAAAATGGAGAAAATGCAGTGTCTATGTGACTGCTGTTGTGAGGAGTGTGTGAGATAATACAGGTGCTGTCTTGTATACTGTAATACTAATGCGCACTAGAAAGAGGATGAGTCTTTGGAGTATGACAACCAGGATTTGAGTCCACACTTTTTCATTTGCCCAGTAAAGTATCATGGTCAGTAGTTTAATTACTTTGAAATTCAAATACTTAATTTAAAAAATTTTGTCATAAAGAATTTTGATTTTTAGTTTAAAAATAAACCATGGAATACATTATTTACTCAATGAACCTTTATTTATTTCTGCCTTTGTCACCTCCAAATATCCTATCAGGACTAAAGCAATGCTTGCCTTCTTTATGTTTTTTTCCTTCTTTTCTTAATGAAATCTCACCTCTGCCCTATTTGTTTGCCCCAAAGGCATGCAATTAACACCACCTACAGAAATGCTCAAAAACTGTCTGTGATTCAAAATGTTTACCATTGCTTATTTATATGACAACAAAAGGTATGTGATGGCAAAGAATATTACATAACAATATATTTTTTAAATACTATGAAGTTTTATCTTCCACTTTTTCTTACTTGGTATTTATTTCCTGGATAATACAGGGCCATAATCAAGGGAAAACAAAGTACAGATTAGGTCAGATTCATTACCCTTTTACCCTAGCACTTTGACACTCTGAGAGCTCAATGAACTTACACTGAAGTATTGTTATCACTTTTAACATTATATTGAGAAGTTAGTAATATATGACAAAATATCTTATTTTGAGCATACAATATTTCATAACTTTCACAATGGATTACTCTTTTTGGACATCAGCCAGCCATTATAAAGAACAGCAGTTCTATTAACCTTTATATTGAATAAATGTTAAATAGAATTATTACTTAAAGGAATATGACAAAAATCATCAAAGTGAAATACTCTACTTTAAAAAATAGGATTTGTGATTCCAAATACCACATCTTTATCCTTTTCACAAAATCACCGTATATAGGAAGACCAACAGCAGCTTTCTGCGATGGCAAATGCCCTGGAAGATGGCAGCATGACCCCCGAACTAGCTGAGGTAATCAAACGGCTATGGAGTGATCCAGGAACCCAGGCCTGCTTTGAAAGGGCATCAGAGTATCACCTCAGTGACTCAGCAGCTTAGTAAGTGAATGCACTTGACAGGAGTTATAGTTGAAACATTTAAAATTAAGAATTATAATTCTGCATTTTCTGCATGTGTAATCACAAATGGGGAAAGGAAATGGCTTTACATTTTATTATACTTAAACAAAAGTAATTGAGGAGAAATTAAAAAGATCAAGATAACATAAAAGAGATGTAAAAATATAGGCAGAGGAGAATTTAAAGAACTAATTTTGAAACTATTTGCCTGAGAAGACCTGTATGTTGCAAGTATTTTCTCCCAATTACAAAGAATTAATCATTGTGTACTGTGCTCAACATAACATAGACTGGTGACATGTACTCTGGGATTTGGAGCTATTCATTTCCTCTCTCTTTAATTACTGATATCACCTAAAATAATTCTGTAATGACATATGCTTTGGTTTCACTGGTTTGATGAGCATGATACAGAATTCTAGAAGAAAGTAATATATTGATTTCCAAAACAATTGCATATTGTGGGATTCTTTTTGAGACTCAAGAAAGATTATGTAATTTTCACAGCTAATAACCAGTTAGCAATCATCAGCCTCAAAGAAATTAGAAGGTTATGACACTATTTATAGTTTCATTATCAAAATGATTTTAAATTTCCACTTTAGTAAGTGGTTTTAACCTATTTTATGGTTATATGCTTGTGTGCATGTATGCACATGTATGTAAATATAACTGAATTTTTCTATATTTTTGTCTCTGCACACAGTTGTATGAAACAGTATAAATACAATCCTTTGATGAACTCCCAGTAGAACATGCTATACTTTAGTAGTACTTTTAGAAAAAAACACAGTGTAAAAATGAAGCAAATGAAGGATTATTTCAGGACAGACCAATGAGTGGGGGAGGGCAAGTAGGGAGGGCGGGAGAAGGGGACTGAGGGGTGTTATGAGTGGCATACATGGTGTCGGGGGGATCATGGGGAAGACAGTGTAGCACAGAAAAGGCAAACAGTGAGTGACTCTGTGGCATCTTGCTACACTGATGGGCAGTGACTGCAATGGGGTGTGGGAGGGGACATGATAACAGGGGTGAATGTAGTGACCACATTGTTTTTTCATGTGAAACCATAAGAGTGTATATTAATAATACTTTAATTTAATTAATTAATTAATTAAAATAAATAAATCGTGATGGCAGAAGGATTATGGAGAGAAAAAAAACATAAATTTTAGGAAAAGCTAACAGCAACAGTCTTCTAGGATTACTCACTCACTTTCATTTCAAATCCTAATGGACACATTGCCCTTGGTGGAAAGTCCTACTCTCATCTCTCCAATAAAGCAGAGAATGGAAATCATCATGTGACTACATAAACTTAAATAATTGTTTTTATAATTGTCCCAGTGCCTAGCCACATTTTAATACTAAGAGGGCTCCCTCTAGGATAGAAACCATTGATTTTCTATATGAATCATTAATAAAGGCAGTCACAATTAATAAGAAACTAAATTGTGAAATATTTTCATAAAATGTTGCTGAGCAAAGTTCTAGGGAAGGAGGGAGAGATGGAGAGACAGATGATAGATAGCTGTAATTAATATACTTAGTATTAGATGCTTATTATTGATTACACGATTGTGATTACACATTAGGTATCACTTGCATTTATATATATGTGTCACTCTGCTTACATAAACTTTATCATTATGCTTACCAAATGCTTTGATCTTTAGCATCAATATTTATTCATTGTATACTCTAAATGGGCAGATGAAATGATATTTATTGTATTTTCTAGTCTTTCTCATTTTTAGATTTAGCTTTTTTCTTTGGTTTTTAACTACTGATTCATTTACAGGATGGCAGAATAACAACAAGAAAGTTGATCCTCACCCCCCTATCTGTCTAAGGTTTCATATAAAATGAAAAAATCTAAATGCTAACTCTTTTATGCCCTTAGAAGAGGTCCTTAAATATATATAGTAAGTAAAAGCTTGCAAAAATAGTTGAATGGCCACTGCTTTCTTCAAAAAAATTTTTTTTCAAGTACTGAATTACATTCACATATTAAAATTAAATATAATACCAGAGTGGTCCCCTATCCATGTCTATTTCATATGCATTATACAGGGCATTTTCTCTTTCCCTCCCTCCCTCTTCCTCCCTCCCCCTTCCCTCGCTCCCTTTTATTTGTGGGGGGATGAAAGTGAAATATTTCTCAAACCTAGAGCCCCTTCAAGTTTAGGCTAACAAAAAGGTGAGTCCTACTCATAGTAAAGGACTGGCACATTGTTGACAACACAGCACCCCCTTCCCATCGGTACTAGCAAATAAAAGAGAAAAGGGCATGACGGTGGCAAGAATGGTAAAGATTTTAATTACTACTTCATGGTGTAGTGATTGAGGCCATCCAGTATGCTATTTAAATTCCGTATGCTTTAATATTTAACATAGACTTTACTAGAAAAAAAACCTATTTTTACATGATTAGAAAAAGAATCAGGTGTTTTTTAAAGCAGTTGAGCTATATTAAGTTTTAGACCATACACTCGAGCACCCAAATCCCGTGTTTGTTTACTAAAGCAAGCATTTCAAATGCAAATGTGTCACTCTGGTAATGCTTTTGTTTTGCTTGAAATCATTTAAACATGCAAATGAAAGTACATTAAAATCTCTCTTTACCAAAGTATTCACTGAGCTGTTATTAAAATGAATTTAATCTCTGTGTTGGCAGGTATGTTTTTTTTTTTTGCCCCTACATGAACCAACTGTCAAGATACCTAACCACACACGCAGACCAAGTCAGTAGGGAATTCACAAAGGAAAGTGCTTCCCAAAATAGGAAATGGATAAACAAACTAGAAAAATCTCCCAATGCTTTCTTCTGACATATTTATATCTTGCTTTGTCTCTCTTTAAGAAAATTAAACTTTATTAGAATAAGACATGATGATACATTTTCACATTACACATATATGTGTTTCTGCAGGATAACTGTCTATTTTTCCTTGGCCAAAATACCTTTGGGGTACTTGCCCATTCTTAGTTTGTTTCAGCTTAAAAGCAGGAAGATCCTCCAAGAATAAATGATCTATATTGCTCTTGAATTTACTTACTAAAAAAAGATTAAATGATCATTTATTGTTGTTTTCTTAAGGCATCATTGTAAATGCTAAGCTATTACAGCTCTTTAGGCCCTGAAAAATTCAACTTTTGGATCATAACTAATGTTCAGATGGATTCTACCTCTCTATTCTGTCTGGACGCATGTATACCTATCACGATCTTTCTATTTAAGCAATATGTAAACTTGATTCAATATAGTGGCCAATTTGGTCATAAAAAGTTTACCAGGCTATTATAATCTCTAATGTAACATTTTCACAGAGCTAGCCATATTGCTAAACTACTAAAGACTTGATATTTCAAAAGTCTAGAACAGTGATTTTTCAACTGTTTCTAAAGAAATAAAATACTTTTAACCTGAAGACATTATCTGGTTTCAAGGAAGGAGCAAAGAACAGATTCTCTCCTCTAATCCAACAGACTTTTAAAGAGCACACAGCTTAATCCATCTTATTCCTGCTCCTCACTACCCTGATCTTGTGGGCAAAAAGAGAACAGTATTCAACTGAGCAACGGTAGGGATTTACATAAGGCTTCCAGAGAAGAGTCTAAGGACACTCTGATGCCCTGCTGGAAGAGAAGAGGAGGTAGGAATGGATATAATGTATAAATTTGGCTGAACTTAAGTTCTTTCTCCAGGATTGCTGATCAGGGATGGGTCAGCAATTTCATGAGTCAGTTCTAGCATTAGCCAGCAAGGAAGTCAAAAGATTTTCTTTTTTGAGTTAACTGGATGGCAGTTAACAAAAATGGTTCAGAGTCCTAAGCAGTCACTCTCTTAAAATTGAATGTCTAAATTCAAACTACAGCATCTTGAGAATAGTCTAGTGACTAACATAATAAGGCAGCTTTTTTTTGGATTCTCCAGAATCTTTAGGAGAATTTTTCTCTCAATGGCCTATCCATATACCAGCAAATCTATCACATACGCCTCAGAAAACACAGCCTAAGGCAGCACTGACCTAGCTGCCTTTGTAAGAGGCCCCCACAGGTCAGCTCTGTCCCTCACTCAGAATACCACACTATCCCAGCCACTCAGATCCTAAAATTCTGATGAGCAGAGTATGAAAAGCAACAGTCTGGAGTTAAATAAGTTTAATGGACCCTAAACTAAAAATTCATTTATTCTGAATCCTGGTATTGTAAAATGCGAAGTTAAAAATACATATGCTGGATTTTTCTTTTTTATTAGCTACCTTAATGATGTAGACAGAATAACAGCACCTGGATATGTCCCAAATGAGCAGGATGTTCTACATTCTCGAGTGAAAACAACTGGAATCATTGAAACTCAATTCTCCTTTAAAGACTTGTACTTCAGGTATGACCAAATGTCTTTTCTAACTGGCAACAGAAATATGCATCAGGTTGAATACTGGTTTATGGGGGAAGGGTCTGCCCCACATTTAAGTGCAGTGAACCATTAGGGCGTGCTCACTAGCGCTGGCTCGCTCTGAGTGCCAGGCTCCTTAGTGATCTCATGTATCCGGTGCCCAAACCCTCACCCTGAGTATCAACCATCCCACAAAGAAAAATGCTTCTATCTTGAGCAGGTAGGCGTTAGATTTTGTTTTTCTCATCCTTGAAACTGATATCCTGCTTTGAAAAACACAGAAAGTATATATAAGTAACATTTATTTAAATATTATTTACATTTAAAAATCTGGTGCCACAGATACTATTTCCTTTGTCTTCCTACAATCCCATTTGCCTAAAATATTCTCATTAATTTGTTTCCTTAATTTTAAAAAACTGCAAATAATTGGGAAGAGAATTACTTGAATGTGATGCTATTTTCTGGAATAACAAGGCCTATTTTATAAGCTTATTCAAGTATGAAAATAAGTCCATTATTTTTATTGCTGTTGCAATACCAAAGCTTCCTAGAATTTCTATTGCAAAATTACTCATTTCCAATACCAACAAATTGAAATCATACCATAATGTTAGAAAATGTCTCTTGACACATAAGCACCCCTCCTTATGGAGGTGAATGAAACAGACTATTAAAGCATTAAAACTAAGTTCTAGCTGTACCATTTAGTAGTGAAAAAAAAACAATGAAACTATAAGTCATTCATGTATGCAATAATGGGAATATTCTCAAAAAGCAGAAAAGGTGGACAAATGGTGACCTGAGTTATGGGGATCCATTTGTGAGGAAAAATTTATTTCAGTGGGATAAAAGCCTTAAAATGTTTTAAGTATTAAAATTGGTGATACATAATATTAGAATTAGAACAGCTATTACATAGATGGACAGGGCATTTTCAAATTGATATGAAAGAAAGCTCTTTAAAATTTATACCTGAATTTCAGGTCCACAAATAGTTAATTTTCCAAAAATGAGGCAAAGATCAAGCCAGGAAAAAGGGACTGAAAAGACTGGGATTGACATCCACTCTTGGCAAATGTAAGCCAAATTTGTCTTCTGTCCTGTCATCACTGTGCTACAATTCCTCTTTGGCAATTATTTTCCCCAGACTGCTGATCTCTCATCCAGTTCCGGAGTTTTTCTTTGGGAGCCCAAGTCCAGCTATTCGGACCCTCTGCCCCTCCTAAGCCTGTGAAAGCATTTCTGGCACACTCCCCTTTCTCTCTTACTCTCCTTTCCACCTCTCCAAATTCCTCACTGAAACCCACACAGGAAGCTGAGTGTCAGCCTTGAGGCTGGTCCTACGAAGGTTCCAATCCTAGGTTCCAAGTAAAGATGAAGTCAAGTCAAGTCCTGGCAAAGAGTTACAGCTGGTTGTTAGCAATTTTACATGAGATCACAGCATTTTCTGGATCTTAGATTGTCTGGACCATAAGCCAGTTTTGCTGTCACATACTGAACACCTACAGACTCACAATCCTGGTCCTTCTCTGCACCACCAACCAATTTACTATCTTCTCAGAAAGAGTCACAATTAGATTATCTTTTTTATGTATCTATTCCTTGAACATTCCAAGCCTTAGGGTCTTTGCTTGGACTCACTATTCTCTTTGCCTAAAACACTCTGACCCTGGATCTCTGCAAGGACTGGCTTAACATCTTATCACTCAGTTCCCATATCAAATGCTATCTCCTCATGGAAACTTGACCATCCTATTAAGCATCCCTGCATATGCATATCCCTGTCGCTACTACACCCGGCAGTGTGCTGGTGAACACAGAAGAGCTGGCTCTCTGGGGCTGGGGGAGAGGAGCCTGATCTGTGGCTTCTCTGGTGTCTGTATCTTGACAGTGGCCACTTTCAGCCTGCCAATGTTGTGCCACTAAATGCAGAGTTGAGAAGAAACCAAGCAGCTCCCACTAACCATGCCAAGATGAGCCCGCACCACTGTACCACTGATAAATCACACTACTCTCTTTTGTTGAAACCTACCAATATATGAAATTGCCTTGTTTATTAGTTTGCTCTTTTCATTTCTGCTTCTGCCTCATATGCTCTGAGCTGCACGAGGCCAGAAGCCATGTCTGATACAGTACTTTGTCTCCTGTGATTACCATGGCACCCAGCAGAGTAAGCATAAAGTTAATTCTTGCTGGATGAATACACGACTATGCCAAGCATTCTCTGTACACTATCTTTACACCCTCCCTGTAACATGATGAACTGGGCATGTAGGACAGAGTCAAGAAATGGAGGCTAAAATGAAGTGAGAGATTTTCCCCAAGACTCACACATACATCATACATGATTTCTACATCATGATAGAAACATGATTAGAATGCCCATCTTTCTAACTTCAAAGACTAAAGCTTTTACATTGCATATCACTGAAGGGCTATTATGTAATCTGGAGTGGAAACCATTCTTTTTCTGTAGAGTACATGCTTCTTCCAATGCTGTTAGCCATTCATCATTCCCTTCAGAGAGAGGAGAGAAGGGGAAATAAAATGACAGCCCATTGGGGAGACATCTCTGAGGTAGAGGGCTCTATGGTACTTGACAGGTCTGTGCTTCTAGAACCAGGATGCATGAGAATTGCCAATGAACATGTAAAACCTCAGAAAATCATTTTCATTTCCTGGAACAACTGTTTCACTCAATACCAAGTAATATAAATACTTGTAAACTTTTTAAAATTACATTCCAAGTAGAATATAGCATTTGCAGTTTTTAAAAAAGTAAAATATTATTTTAAAGATAATGTTTCCTTCATAATAGGCCTCTTTAGATTAGACTTCTCAACCCCTATTGGTACATCATCATTTCCTGTCCTTTTGTAGACCTGTGGTTAATTGTATGAAGCATTGCCTTCAGTCACATAAGGAGGTGTATTTAGTGTATTGTTGGCCCTTACGAAGGAATGAGAAGTGCCTTGCTGATTCTCTATTACACTATCAATGCTAAAATGTAAGGCGTTTGTGAATTGAATTGTGAAGCCCCATGACACCTTATTTTGACACATTTTCTGTACTATTCAGCTACTACCTCTTTGCCATCTATTAAAATAGGTTTTGAGGCCTTTTGTTTTTTTAATAATAGGTTTTGGTTTCCCTCTGGCTCTGGGGGGTTGTTATTAAAGGCATCTTCTATATGGAAGAGAATAGAGAATACTAGCTACTCACTCAGATGTAGGAAGTTTCTTTAAAAACAGGTATTGAAAAAATGCAATTCTACTGCATAACATAAAAATGCAACTATACCTTTTTCTTAAGGAACAATTTAAAATCACTTAAATACATTTTTAAGCTTAGTCACAGCAACTGAGATATATTAATCTCTTAATAAATTCCCCCGGTTAAGTCATTTTTTAAAGTGAATAAGTGAATATCCAAAAGTGCACAGGCTTTTGTAGTATAAAATTCTGTAGTTCAAAATAGAAAGTATAAAAAATAATGTACAACTTCATTTCAGTAAGTGCCCAGAATTAAAATACCTTACATTAGCATTGATTTGTATTCATATAGCATAAATCATCCTATGACTATTTAACCAAAGACTTAATTTACATATTAAATAGGAAAATACTTGAATTTTAAATAGGAACATCAAAATGAAAAATTCCCTCTGCCAATGTATTGTATTATCTTCATGTATCACCTAATTCAATGGAAATTTTCTTACCAAACCAAAATTCCAACAGTCAAAATGATAAAATTAATTATCTTTACAGATATTGAAGTACTGTGTAAATTTAAAATACAGTGTAAATGTGGGCCATTTCCTTTTATAATTCCTCAGGACAAAGAATTTACCGGCTTAAAAGAATTTATCAAACAATTATAGAAAAATCACTTTCTCCTTAACTGCTCTACGATTAAAAAACAGAATTGAAAGGACAGAAAACTATATGATAGACAAGGAAAAGAGGTTGGCAACTATTACAATGTAGAGCTTTAGATTTTGTAAAGATAGCATAGCTATTTTTAACAATGGTTGAGCAGATCTATGATATGAAATAAATTATAATTTCCTGAATTTGAAATTAAATCAGGTACACTGTGTTCATTTCTGTGAAGGTGTAAGTCACCTTAGCTTAGGAGTGAGTCTGGTTGTCCACTAACAGCTATGATCTCAATTTAGCTCTTATTTTCTATTAGAGTTCACAGATCAATAATTTATATATATATATAACTATATATTTGTTTCAGGTATGTTCATGGTTAATATTACCAAAGTAAGAAGAAACCTAACATGATGTCTAATTTATCTAGTAATAGAATTTACTTTAATGACTTTATGAACTATTTTATTCGATCATGAGATATTGTCTAGGAGGCATTTTAAGTTCCACACACATGCAGACGCTTTAATAGAAAGTATGTAATTATATTAACAATTATAGGAGTTTAAGACCATGGCTCCCATATGGTTGTAAGTCCTTTTGATTTTGTTTTTTAATCACGAGCAGCTAAGGGATTTGTAATAACCTCTGTCCATATGCTTTGTGTCTGCATTTATCAACCCTGATCTATTTCCAGAACAGTGGACAAAGGAAAGAGTCGGTTAGACCATTTGATACGGTGACAACACAGATCCACCTGTTGGCACTGTTGCATGGAGTCATCTTAAGTAGTTATACCAAATCTGATACAGTCAGGTATCTTGAGTAAAACCCATTCAACAGAATAGTTTAAAATAAATTCCAACTCAGATTACATATGAATTGTTCTATGGTCAAATATATGGATGTCAGAAATTGTGATATTTTAAGTTATCTTGTTTATAAGGTGAACGAAGACATCTAACAAATAAATTAGCTGCAGTAGTATTATTGATTTTTAGCTATCTTTGGTTATATAATGATTTTCCAAGCACTATAAAGGGCAGATTATTTCATAGTAATTTATTCTGATATGATGTGTGAATAATCTTGTGTGGTCAAATA